CCGCCCCGCCCCGCCCCGCGTCCGGGGCCCGCACCCGCGGTCCCAATGCCCGAGCGGCGCGAGCGCAGTGCGGTGCAACGGACCCCATCTACACTGGCCCGAGCCGCCTCCCACACCCGAGCCGGAGGCCCGAGAGCTGCGCGTTACCAGGATCACGGAGGGAATGCTGACGGGGAAAGCGCTGACGGAGAACGCGGACGGCATCTTCCCGGAAAAGGCCCGCCCCTTCGCGAACTGCCACTCCGCCCCTACTTCCGGGTCTTGGGGGACGCGCCACCGCCGCCGTCGGCTCGCGTCTTCTCGCGAGATCTCTGCTGCCGGCATGGCAACTTCACGTCTCGCGATAATACTTAACATTTACAAAATACGTAATTTAAAGTTAGACCTCGACTTTTTCACTTAGGTGAAGAGCTCAAGACGCTCTGTCAGGTAATCGTTACGCAGTTCAAACGCACTAGCTGCTCGCTGCGTAAAAACAAGGCTGTGTGCTCCTGTAAGGATTTACAACCACGGAAGCCCGATACAGGATCGCTAGGAGTTGGAATTCACGAATGGGAATCCACAGAAGGGCAGTGGATTTTTTGTTTTCCGTTTAGGTGTGGGGAGTCTGAAATGGAACGAACACGTCCTCACTTTTCCACCGGAAGATCCTCTTCTCCAAGAGCCCAAGGGCAGCCATGCCTCAGTGCTGCGGTCGTTATGCAAAAGCACAGCAAATTATGGATAAGATTATGCAAAAGCATAGCAAATTATGGATAAGATTGCTAAGATTTGGATCCAGAACACTGATGGTGTCCATGCAGAGCCTGCACATAGACCAAGAGAGGGTCCTTTATGCAGAACAAGGGAATTTGAATCTATGTATACGTATGTATCTATGTATACATCGGTATACTACAGCCTTCAAAATGGATTATACCTCAGCATAAAGGAGAAATCATCACAACTGAACCAGTAGTCAGTATCAGGATAAATGGGAAAAGATTTAAGTTGTCAAGGATTTCATTTATGTGAACACAATCATTGCTCATGGAAGCGGCAATCAAAAAATCAATTGACGCATTGTTTTGCCCAAATCCGTGCTGCACAAGATCTCTTTAAAAGTGTAATAGAGCAAATATGTCACTTTGAAAACTAAGGTGCACTTGACCAAGTCATGGTAATTTCAATTGCCTCATCATTATGTGAAAGCGTGGAAAAGAATAAGAAAGACCAAAGTAAGAACAACAGGACAGGTACTTCATTTCTATGAAAGTGATTTGAAACATACTCTTCGTTCAAGAGGAATTGAATAAGGGTATGAAGTAAAAATCAATTACAACCCAGTTTTTGGCCACATAAGGGAAGCTGAACGCAAGATAAATTTGGAACTTAAAAAACAAAGCAGAAAGGATTAAAGAGAATGGGTTTTGGTAGCATCTTGGTGGCTCTGGACTTCCCAGTTATATTTCTAAAACGTCCACAGGATTGTTGATGGCAGTCCCCATTGGATTTTTATTTCACTGACAAAAAGATGTACCTGAAATAGCTTCCACATGAGATACAAGTCCTGCTGATTCTGTCTCCAGGATTCCAAGTCTCTTTACCAGCCTTATCCATTCCTTGTCTAGTTTACTACAGTAGCTGCATAGTCTTCCTCTCATGTAATTGATTCTTTGCACTACAAATACAGTGATCATAAATTAAAGTTATTACTCTTTAAATGCTTCAGTGGGATCGCATTGTAACTAACATCTATACTTTTTTTGTTGTTTTTTAAATCATTTTATTAGGGGCTCATACAACTCTTATCACAATCCATACACACATCAATTGTGTAAAGCACATTTGCACATCATTCTCAAAACATTTTCTCTCCACTTAAACCCCTGACCATTTTCCCCTCCTTCCCCTCTCCCCCCTCCCTCATGAGCCCTTGATAGTTTATAAATTGTTATTTTGTCGTATCTTGCCCTGTCCGATGTCTCCCTTCACCCACTTTTCTGTTGTCCGTCCCCCAGGGAGGAGGTCACATATAGTTCCTTGTAATGTGACATGTAAGGATATGCACGATCTAGCTTCTTACATCGCCAACTATGTATGGGCCATTCTTCTACTCTTGGAGCCACAGCAGTGGCCTTTCTTTTCTCAAATATGTTAAGCTTTGTCTATCTCAGATTGCTGCCTGTAGTTTTCTGTTTGCATGTTCTTTCTCATCACAGCGAATTTACATTCTTATGTCCCTTCTCAAATATCATCTCTTTAGAAAGATCTTTTTTTAATGACCAACCAACTTTCCTAGTCACTTAGTATCTCATTACACTACTTATAGTCTTTTAACATCAACATTTACAAACACCTTGCTTATTTTTTTTCCTTTCCCTGTTTTCCCATGTATGGTTTGCTTGCATTTTAAATGCAGGTATCATGAGGAAAACAAAAAACTTAACTTTTCCCTTACTGCATCCAGTTCATTGTAGTAACTGACACAATATAATAAAATAATACAAAATTTACTGATGTCAGGTTTTACAGAGATAAGAGACAGAACGAGACCTTTCATTAATATATTTATTGAGGGAGGTGAGGTTTGTAGGGAACAGGAAATGAAATGAGGAGAAAGGGGTTTGGGATAGTAAGGTAAAAAAAACAAAAAGGTTAGAGCTGGCCCTTTGTCTAAAGCCAGAGAATCAGTCAACTTAAAAGGTATCAAGTCCAGGAGAGTCGCTGAGAGCTGGCATTACAGGTAGTGAACAGAGGTGAGAGGCAGGAGAGACCAGAGCGGCAGAAGGGTAGTAGCAACGCAGTCCAAGTAAGCAGAGAGAACAAAGGATCAACTCCGGAGGGTTTCCGCGAATCTTTCTGGTTGGCGTGGATAACGCCAATGCGCCGGGCACCAGCTTCTGTTAGCTGACGCCACTTAATAGGGTGGAAAGATGGGTGGAGTAACCTTTGTAAACCGAAGAAATGTCTGCTGTCCCTAGTAATGCTGCCACCGGACACTAGAATTGCATAAAGTAGTGAATGGATTTATGAAATAATGCATACATTTACAACATTTTGAGAACCAGTACCTCTAATTTTTTTCTACTAATTTCTTTCTTTTTTTCTATCAGTTCTCTGCAACTTTTAACCCTCTGCTTTCTTTTTCTTTAAAAAAAAATCATTTTATTGGGGGCTCATACAACTTTACTAGTTTCTTGAGACTACTAAGTACCTTAGATTTGTGTTATTATTGGTATGTTTACTGGAATTTTTGGTTTGTTTATTGTTTCCATTGGTTACTTTTGGAAAAAATATATTTAAAAATCATTGTTTTATAATTTCTTGGTTAGTGTTTTATATTTATCCTAGATTTATCGCTATTGTTACTGATGTGTGATCATCTTAAACTGTTCATTTGTCATAGAATCAGATTTAGGACTCAGTAGCTAGGTCTCCACTTTTTAAAATGTATTTTTTTTTGCTTTAAATTTGTGTAATATATTTTTTCTTGGTTTAGCTTATTAATTCAGTTGCTAATTTTCTATCTCTACATACTTTATTCATTTTTTTGTCCATTTTTGGTCATGTCTACAGAATACATTTAAGGGATAAGTTTAGAGAAAACTAGAGTGTTTTGCTTGCATGGTAGTTGCTTAAGCATCAATGTAAAGTGGTTACATTACAACCTCGATATTTTCTCCATTTATCATGATGTTTCTTATTGGTCCAATTGTAATAATTTTGTTTTATTTATGTTGAAGTGCAGTCCATATGAAGCACTAATTTGATCTAAGTATATCGTGCCCTCCTGGCTTTCAGCAAGCAAAGTTGTGTCATCTGCATATCACAGTTTAAAATGTGTGTTCTTCCATTCTTGATGCTTATTCATTTAGTCCTCATACAGACTGAATAAGTATGAGAAAGTAGACAACACTGACACTTATCTTGATTTTAAGCCACTCTGTCCCCCTCTGTTTTGTTCCAATGACTACCTCTTCATCTTTGTACAAGTTCCGCATAAGCACGTTCAAGTGTTCTGGAATTCACATTCTTTGCAATGTTATCCATTATCTTTGCAATGTTATACAATAGTCGATAAAATACACATAAGCACCTTTGCTATTCTCTGCTTTCAATGCAGATCTGACATCAGCAGTGATATGCCTTGTTTAAAGTCCTATTCTGAATCTGGTTTAAAATTCTGGCCCGAAAGTCCTCCTGTCACAGCTCATATGGGCATTAAGCAACACATACCATTGTATGTATGTATGTATATGCACACACACATACATATGTGTATAATGAACAAAGGAAGAATTACTCATAGCAATTAATGCCCTTGTTTGTGCAACTGTTCAAATGGTTATAACTAGTATTTAGAACTCCTTCTTTCACTACTGATTTCAGATTTCTTTTCACTTTAGCAAGCACCTCAGCAGGTCCTGGTTCTATATCTTCTGGGATGACTCAAACTTTTAACATTGAAGGGCCTGGGCCATTAGTAGCCATGTCAGAATTGGATTGCTCTACTTTCCCACTACCTTTAATCACAGGCATAGTAGTAGTAAATGATACCCCAGGGGTTCTCTTGTATTCCAGACATACTCTTTGCTACCGCCTTTGTTGTTGTTAGGTGCCAATGAGTCAGTTCCAAGTCATTGTTACCCTATGTACAAGAGAACAGAATTCTGCCTGGTTTTAGCCCATTGTTTCAGCCATGGTGTAAATGCATCTTGTCAAGGGTCTTCCTTTTATTTCACTGCTCTTCTATTTACCAAGCACTATCCTTGCACTATACCAATCAGAATCAATCACACCAGTCAACATGGTTTAACTTCCCCCTTTACCTGTTGACCGAGAGACACGAGGATCACAAAGTGGCCAGGAGACATCCTTAACTTTCAGTTCCGTCAGATCAGTGTTTCATCTCCAGATGAGAATAATTTTCTCTTTGGAACTAAGACCTCTAGACACACCAGTTACAGGGTGAAAGAGACAGGGAGAAAAATTTGTGCTAGTGGGTCATTAGAGTAATAGTGGTGACACATCAATTTCTACCCATTTATTCCTGGACCTATGAATTCTTTGGGAGAAACTATATACAGCAATGGTTTAGAGCATAAAAGAGAGGACTTCAAAACTTTTGTTGGAAAATGAAAGTAAAATATAATGGATTTTTCCCACATTTAAAAAAATTCTTCCTGATACAACTTGGTCAGCATCCGCTCCATCCTCTGTCAAGTATTTCCTCCCAGCTGTAACCG